TTATTATTACTACTACTATTATTATCATGGTTCTGATTACTATTACTGTTGTTATTTTTATGATTATTACTATTCTTGAAACTGTTATTATTATTCGTATTACTATTATTATTACTACGCTTGTGTGTCAACAACTTGCACCTTTTCCCTCTCCTCCACGGAGGAGCTTTGCTTCTCAGCACTTCCATCCACAGCCTCGCCATTCAAAAGTCCGAACAATCTTGCATCACTGTAACATCGGCAGCCTCTGTATGAAGAGCTTCCTAAACCCTAAACCCTGATCCCTACACCCTAAACCTTAAACCCTAAACCTTAAACCTTGAACCCTAAACCCTCCTAAATGCCATTTCTCCATTTGCGCATAGCTCGGGCTGGAAGCCCGCACCTCAAACTTGACCACGTCGCGGGCAGAAGCTCGTGCAGGACTTGCCTTGGATGGTTTAGGGTTTAGGATTTATGGTTTAGGGTTCAGGGTTTAGGGTGGGGTTCTATCAGGGATTATAGGGATTATATAAGGGATAATGGAAAGAAAATGGAAACTACTATACTGGGTTATATTTGGGATTGTAGGTATTATAGTCTATTGGAAGAAGGGAAGGAAAATGAAAACCACTGTATATCATTTAGGGTTTAAGGTTTAGGGTTCAGGGTTTAGGGGTTAGGGTTAGGGGTTCAGGGTGTATAAGGAACTTCAACTAAGTTAGCATAGTTTGGGTGTTTAGGGGTTCAGGCTTCAGGGTTTAGGGTACCATATTATGGGTAGTTATGGTCTACGGTATTTACTATGGCTTCCCCAATATAATAAACCCAACCAACTTCCTTAGCAGCAACCCAGCTTTTGCCATCCCCCAGCTGCGCCTGCCCGAAGCCCTAAACCCTAAGCCCTACTTGGAGGGTCAGGGGGACTTAGTAAGTAGGTTAATAACCCCCATAAACCATATAGTAACCTTACTTATCCCTATTATTAACCCACTTACTAAGTTCCCCTGACCCTCCAAGTAGCAAGCTTTGAAACTGAGCCGGGCGCTGTGTGCGACCCTAAAACCACGATGACAACGAAGACCGCCAGGCCAACCAAACCAATCTCAGAAAGGGGGGGGGGGATTTAGGGATTAGGGTTTAGGGTTTAGTACCATGTCATACTATGTCATGTCATGTCACGTAACATCAGGGCCTGTTGTGTGATGTATGTTATGGTGTGGTACGACGGTACGAATGTCAACATTGGTTTGACATGGTACCCTAACCACTAAGGCCAGTGCTGCCACACGCTGCGTACGGCCGGTGTCCACACTTGAGTTCTCCTGGAGCAGACAAGAGAACTCAAAACTCGCTGTATTACCATCATAATTGTTACTTCTATGACTACTATTCTCATCATGATTACCATTATTACTCGTGCTTTTTTATATTCTTATTACTACTTGTATCATTACCATTTCTACTATTACTATTAACTAATACTAGTGCTATTACTAGTACGAGTACTGCTACTATGATTATTTGGAGCCTCTAAGGACCCAAGTCCTGCAGGTCTTGGCTGTAATTAAGTTGCATCTGCCGCCTCGGCGCGTCATTTAGCTTCAACAGGATTAGGGTTTAGGGTTTAGGGTTTTGGGTTTAGGGTTGAGCCCCTGAGACCGTGGCATCTCCGCCCATTTCTTCGTGGAGAACATGGCGTCAAGTGGCGCCCTCCCGCTTTTGAACCAGTCTCTTAGCTGCAGCGAGCATTGTACCGGCGAATGGAAACACAGGCAAGAAGCAAGACATACTCCGTTCATGGGTCTACTATGGGACCACCCAGTATATGGGCCAACAAAAACTAAAGGCTTGAATTAGGGGTTGTTGGGGACTATAGTTCGCGATTAAAGCTTACCAGGGCCTATCAGGGCTAATTAGCTTGGGTTGCATGGGCCCACGGTAGTCCTATGAGCTATCCTCTGGGAAGCTCAAACAACTCGAAACGCACTTGCAGGAAGGTCGCAAGTTGTTAGGCATAGATGTCCATCGGAGCATTACAAGTGGAAGCCTTGCAGAAGAAGCGACAAAAAGCAAAAGGGTGGCAGATAGTAAGTATTCTCAGGGCGGAATTTGTATTCTGAAGGGTGTAGCGATTTTCCACGACTAAGCAGCACTCTTACTGGTACTGAACCTTAATTTCGCAACCCTAGCCTGAATCCTCAAGCCTCTGTGTATATATATATATATATTGTATTTTATGGTAGTTTCCATAAATAGGGGGACCCCAATATGGACCCCAATATACTAGAATGCCTATTACGGGGGCCCCCCAAAAAGGTACCCCTAATTTTGTCAAACCCTTAAACCTTAAACCCTATAGAACCCACAGATAACCCCTATGAACCCCCAAAAGGTACACGCAATGTGGGAGATACCCATATGTACACTTCCACAAGGTAGGTTGTTCAAAACTATGGTCCTGTTGCTCTAGGTGAGCCTGTATGATTAGCTTACACCCAAAAATGCCAGAATTTAAAAGCAATTTAGGGTTTAGGGTATGATTAGCTTACCCAAACAAAAAAAACAGAATGTCAATTAACAAACCTCCATACGCTAAACCCGAAGCCCCTAAGCCCTAAACTCTTGCATATGACTCATATGATCCATAGTCTGAGCTCCCAGTACCCCCTTAAGAACGCTTATAGCGCTCCCTTATATAATCCCCTACATAACCCCCTTTAAGGAGTTTATTTAGACTATAGCTCATATGATATGAAGTAGGATTGGTACTGAGCCTCTGGCATCTCTGCTGAGCTGCCGGAATGCCACTTTACAGAACCTTACCGAGGGTTCCGAAAGCAGCTTATCGCGCTCAATATCCGATTTGTAATGATAAGTATGAATATCCTCGATGTGTGTATATATATACTTATGTATTTATGGATTTTTATATGCATTACGTGTGTTTATACATGCATATATACGTGGTCTTTGGGTTCTTCAGCTTAGGACAAGTACCAAAGAAAGTTGAGGGTTCCGACAATGGTGGATCGCTTTTGGGGAGGCGTCTGTATCATCAGGTTTACAAGATCGGGGGATCAGTTCATGAGTTGCTCCCCCCTAAACCCTGAACCCTAAACCGCGAGTGTGCCTTTTGGATGGAAATGAAGCAGCTCTCACACCTTCGAACCTGCTATCTCCTCCACAAGATGGGTGTTCCAAAGGGTTCAGGGTTTAGGGTCCCCTTTTTTTGCGTTTTGGAGGTATATGGAGCTCCCATTTACCGTATGCAGGAAGCCATAGTGCGCGTACTTTGGCCATCGTTCCCTTTGCCAAAGCTGGGAGCAAAATGCCAGGCTTTGGAGCGTTGTAGTGCTGTTTGCAATGGGTATTGGGGGAAGAAATCCATAGAATGGTTCTAGGATTTAGGGTTTATGGAAAAGAAAATGGAAACTACTATAATATATTGGGGTTGTGTAGTGATAATGGAAAAGAAAACGGAAACTACTATAGTATATTGGGGTTGAATAGAGATAATGGAACAGAAAATGGAAACTACTACTAACACATCCCAGCCAAAATAAGAAATCGATACGCCCCTTTCTAGCCTCACCTCCAAGCAAACCCAGGCAGAAGCCTTCTTCTTGAAAGCATGGCTCAGCTAAACGCCGTATTCTACGACCCTCGTGCCCACGGCTTCGCACCTCAGAGCACAAGGCCCCCCATGCTAAATCCACTGTTATGTCAAATTCTAGAACCAGCCTCAGAGCAAAAACCTGGGGTTTAGGGTTTAGGGCACTTCTATCTGGAGTCATGCTCTATGCCAAAAGCGCTTTTGCAGAAGTCGCCTCGTGTTGAAGTGCACCCCTAAACTGATCAAGTAGCATGGGTGATGTGTCCCAAGCGGGATCCACAACCACCGGTGCGGACATCTTCTGCTGCGCCATGGCTTTGGCAGCTGGAGAATCTGGCTACATGGGAAGTCAACTTTAGGCTTACTGTAGGGTTTAGGGATTAGGGTTTAGGGGTTTAGGGGTTTAGGGTTTAGGGTTTAGGGTTTCTATATGTATCATGGTATAAACTCCTAGTATCCCCCTTTATAAGCCCTATAGTAATCCCATATATAATCCCCTATATAATCCCCTTTAAGGAGTTTAGACTATGGCTATGGTTCATATGGAGATTATTTATGGATTATATTCCCTCATTCTCTTTGTAAGTACAAGAGTGCTTCCGACTGCTGAGCCGTGGTCAATGTGCGAAGGCTTTTGCAGATGCATGATCCGCTACTGGGTTGCTGTTCAGTTCAGGAACTTAAGTTAAGTTACTTTCAGAGATAAACCATCCTATGTAGTAAATCCCCATGTCATGGTAACCTAAGCTAAGTTCCTTCACAGTCACTAGTAATCCACTAGCTCAGCGAAAGTGGTGATACAGCAAAATCACCAGCATCACGAGCATAAGAGGTTATGCACTCAAGCAAGCCTTAGTTTACCGCGCGAAGCCTGATCAAACACCCAAACCCTAAACCCTAAGCCCTGAACCCTAATTAAACAATAAACCCTAAACCTTAAGCTCGAAACCCCAAACCCTAAGCCCCTAAACCCTGAACCCTAAGCCCTAAACCCTAAATCCTAAATCCTGGCTCTTGCCATTGCAAAAGGCTCTAAGCCACAGCAAACGCAGCAGCTTGGGAACAGCTTCGGGGGGCGACCTGGACCTTCTTGAGCTCCTTTAAGATGTGGAGCCTACCGCCCGAAAGTGGCGTGATGGCGCGGAAAAGACTGGAGGGTTTAGGGTTTAGGGCCGACAGTTCAGGGTTCAGGGTTGAGGATTCAGGGTTTAGGGTCTAGGGTTCAAAGTTTGGGGTTCACGTCTTAGCAGACTCCAGGAAATGCATGATCGGCATGCTAATGCAGGCCGCTGCCTGCCATGCGCTGGCCCGTCGCATTGAAGATATGCCTGGCACGGGGCAAAATCGAGTTTAGGGTTCAGGGCGTCCACAAGTAAGGGTCCTTCTTGGGAAGTCCCGTTTAAGGTTTGGGGCTACGTCGTCCACGGCCACTCATTTTTCGAAATTGCCCACCTCGAAATCCTCCTTGATAAGAATGGGCCAAAACAGCACCTGTGGCAAGATACACCCAGTCACGTTTGGACAACGCCTGCTAATGGTGGACCCCCGCTTTTTCAATCTAAAAGGATCTCAGTCATCAAGCAGTGCCAACTCGTGTCTGCGCTTTCCAGGGCAGAACACATGTAAGTTTCTCAAGGAAACGTAGTTTCCCAAAATAAGGGACCCCAAGATAGACCGCAAAAGACTATAGTCCTTATTATGGGGAAGCCCAAAAAGGTACCCCTAATTTTGGGAACCCCCATAACACCTATTGAATCCCTAATAGGGGCTCCAGCAGTCTCTTCATGCTGCCCGTATATCCCTATGGTGCCCCAAGCCCCCTTGCTCGAGAAACCCACACAATGAGCGCTGCACAAGGCTGCCAACGGCAGAAACCACGAAGAACGCACAGCTTAGCCGGAAGACGCGCTGTGAGTGTACCTGCGTGTTCCATTTTGCTATGTGCTTAAATGCACAGTATTTCTCCAACATACTCTGGTGATATTTTTGTTAACATTCATGAGTACTGGGCAGGTGGGGCTTTGTCATCGTAGAGGAGGCAGGGATCAGGCTTGCATGTGATTTTGACGGTTTTGCCTGGGCCTGGGCTGCAAACACGTCTGCCGAAGCCAAGTGCCGAGCCGCACATACTGTGCCAAATGAGCTATAATCTAAACTCCTAGTATCCCATTATTTGATAACCCCTACAATACTTCCCCACAACACTGCCTTCTATAACTCCCATTTAAGGAGTTCAGACTATAGCTCAAACAAACTCTGCATGTCGTAATACTGGGATAAAGGCGAGCTCTGCACCAAGACGCAGAACACAAACTTGCTGAAGAATCCCAAGTGAGCTATAGTCTCAGTCTAAACTCCTCAAAGGGGATTATATAGGGGAGTGTTACAGCGGCTTTCACCGGGGATACTAGGAGTTTAGACAGTAGCTCACCTGCCAGTATCAGTCACTGTCACTACGAAGCTCAGTGAAGGGGCGTGTGTGGTGAGCTAAGCCTTACCCAGTCCATCCGACCCTCGTGAAGCGTCTCTAAACCCTAAAGCCTAAGACCTAAAACCTAAACCCTAAACCGTAAACCCTCAACCCTAAAACCCTAAACCCTGAGCACCAAACCCTAAACCCTAAACCCCTTGCAAAGTTGGTATGAATGCATCACAGCTCGCAGAGCCTGAAGCACTCCCCATGCCAGGGAATGCCATTCACACAGTGAGCGAAAGCATCCCAACAGTTCGCTTGATACAAATGGTGAATGCCTTGCCATCTTCTCTATAACTCACTACTACTCATACTAATACTGATACTAATGCTCATGCGAACACTACAAATATGATTAAACAATAGTAATGATAAGGGAAAAACAAGGAGGAATAATCGTCACAATAATAATAATAGTAATCATAAACCCTCAGCAACGACAAATTGATTAAGGCCCTTGCTGCAAGGCTTGCTATGATGCGCGGCGGCGCGGGAAGAGGTCCGTCGGCCATATGAAGCGTCAGTTGTTTGCTGTTGTCACCGCATGAAGTCATGCCCTATTGTGTATTCGATCTGCGCGAAAGCTGAGTCTCTGATCCGTGTAGCTAGCTATGAGTCACTGCAACTCAATTTGAAGCAGACTTTCTATTGGGATTGCACCCTATGGGCGCATTCACTGGTCATGTGCTGCTCTGCTATTCTCTGCTGAACACCCATCTCGTAACTGTGCTACAACCCCCAAATGTCAAAGATTTGTAAGATCAAGCTGTTGCGATGAATGGTGGAAGTGCCGGCTGTCTGGGGCATATCAATGCCACAACTAATATGTCGCTATAGCAAAAGCAAACCGACCCCACTCAAAGTTTTAACATGCTCAGCTGCAACGCTTAAACAGCAAACGCCACATCAAGAAGCAAACGCACACTTGCGGAATAGCCCCTATATAACCGCAGTATACTATAGTAGTTTCCATTTGTTTTCCATTATCCCGATATAACCCCAATACACTATAGTAGTTTCCACCTTATTATTTTCCATTATCCCCATATAACCCCAATCTACTGTAGTAGTTTCCATTGTATTTTCCATTGTCCCCATATAACCCCAATACACTATAGTAGTTTCCACCTTATTGTTTTCCATTATCCCTTCCTACTTGCTGGATCTGCCACTGCACTCACGTCAGCTCTTCATGCATCATCATTGCAATTCTGAGAGCCCTGAGCTGAGTTCAGGGTTTAGGGTTTAGGGTTAAGTACAAGGAATTGTAGGGGGTTCGGTTGAAGACGAGGTAGGGGACTATTTTGGTAAACACCTAGACACCTACTACGACCAACAGCAGGTAGGACACAGTGCCATTCAGAACAATTGGGGCCTTTAATTCATTAGTAGGCAGAAGTGTAGGTAAACATCCCAGACCCCCTGAAGGATCCAAAAAATTGAACCCCCTCAATATGAACCCATTACTACATGGGGGAAACTAGGGGATTATTAGGGGGTTCCATTTTTGGGATCCTTTAGGGGGTCTGGGATAGAGTTGTGCTGCAATGAGTCTAGGTGCCCGTCAATGTTACCAAGCTGTCGGTGTTAAGCCAGGTGTCGAAATATAGTCTGTAAGGATTGTGCAGGGGGGTATGTTGTTTAGGGTTTAGGGTTTAGGGTTTAGGGTAGGGAGTATGTTCCCATGTTCCCCCTAAACCCCAAACCCTAAGTCTTTGGAACCAGGTTTGGGTCTCTGAGCCACAACCTGTTCTCAACTGCCTAGGCAGGCGGAGGTCACCGCTATTCGCCCCTGAACTGCGGTGTCCGGAAGTTAGGGGTCTCAATCGGATTATAAGCCCTAAACCTTATATCCCAAGCCCTAAACCCTGGTTTAGGGTTTAAGGTTTTAGGGCTTTAAGGTTTTAAGGGTTAGGGGTTTAGGGCTTTAAGGTTTTAAGGCTTAAAGTTTTAGGGTTTAGGGTTTTAGGTTTTAGGGCTCGAGAACACCCTGGGTAGACCTTCGACCTCGAGGCGGAAGGACAGTTGTGACCTCTTTACCATCTTTATTGTTATTGTCATTATTGTTGCTGTTACTGTTATTGCTATTATTATTATTATTGTCATTGTTGTTGTTGTTGTTGTTGTCATTATTGTTATAACTAGCGTTGGTCATATGATTTTTTCCTTATTTAGATTATTACTATTGTTAGTAGTAGTAGTAGTAGTAGTAGTAGTGGTAGTAGTACCATTATGACTGCCATTATTATTTTCATTCGTATTATTATCATTACTGTTATTGTTTACCAGTATTAGTACCTAGTTTCCCATATTCTTCGCACTATTGTTACCATCCACTATGATTACCTATACTATTACCATTGTTACAAGGCTGTTTGTTTGTGATCTCCAGCACCCTTGAGAAACCAATGCGCTTCTTGTTAGGCGTGGATGGAAGTATCCTCCCAAGTGAGTGAGACTTGATACGCGCAAGGACTACGCGTCTTCGAGAATGTCACACCAAACCCTAAACCCTAAACCTTAAACCCTAAACCCCAAAGAAGGAACTCAAAAAGTCACTTGAGTGAGATCCTCAGGGCGTACTTCGTTCAACCCCACGCTGACGTGGACTGGTGCCTCATGTTGCCCATAACCTGGGATGATGTTGAGGAACCAAATTAAGTTACCATACTAATGAAAAAGCCAAGGGAAGCTGCTCTTTAGGGTTTAGGGGTTCACTTACGATGATGGGTATATGTAATAATTAATAGGTTTTCCCCAATAGAGTAGCTTAAAGTAAGTTTCTTAACAGCAACCCAGGAACTTCTGTACGGCAGCTTGCCGTCTTCTGGCCTCGCGAGCAGCTCAAAAACCTTCTCCTGCAGCGTGGTCAGCGGTGCCGTGATCCTATCCTGGGTTGCTGTTAAGGCATAATCTAAGTTAGTATAATGGGGAAACCCTATTAATTAGTATGTACATATATATATATATACCCACCATGGTAGCCCTACACCCTCAACCCCTAAACCTTATATACCCGTAACTAACCCCTATATTGGCCACTTAATCTAAGTTCCTAATCAAGGGCGATAACATAGCCCTAAACCCCAAACTCTAAATCCTAAACCTTGAACCCTGAACCCCTAAGCCCATTATGATGACCTAGTTTAGGTTCCTTAACAGCAACCCAGGTATCAACGGCTTGCCTTGCGCGAAGCTCCAGGATCCCTTGTGTTGAGCCGTAGCTTTGCGGCACAAACACCAGGGCAATCTCTTGAAACAGGGCCTGGACACGGGTTATGTAAGGGAGGGTTATGTAGGGTCGTATCGGGTTATATAGGGTTACGTAGGGTTATATAGGCGTATATAGGGTTATATAGGGTTTAGGGTTTAAGGGGTATATAGGGGTTATATACGGGGTATATTGGGGTGTTGTGAGGGTTATATTGAGACAACGGAAAAGAAAATGGAAACTCAGGGCCTGGATGACGGCACCATAAACATTGCTAGTCGCTGAACAGTGAACACTTTGGCACTCGAGAAGTGAGGTCTGCGAGGGAATCTGGAAGTCGTCTTCTATGATCACTGGGATCATGCAGCAAGAGGGTATTTGGCAGGCTTGTAGTAGCAACTTCTGGACATGAGCTGACTGAAAGCAACCTTCACTGCATAACATCAGTGAGATAGATGTGGACGGTAGTAAGTCGCTGCCTTCCAGCAGGATTGATGGGGCCGGCACTTCCGTACCCAATAATCTTGGCTTCCTGGGGGGCTGCTAAAGAGCTTCAACTAAATTACCATCATATGGGTATGTAGTTACTTAACCCTAAACCCTGAATACCAATGCCAATTCCCATATTTTGGGTAACAACTTGATTTACATTCCTTAACAGCAACAGAGCTTCAGCAAGGTTGTCAACACCATGGCTGTCGCCATCGCCTCCGAGCTTTGAAGGTCTGCGATCACACCGAATTCGGAGCAAAGCTCTGTAAGCTGGCTGCTGGTTTGTCTCCATGCACCTGTCTTACTGGTTTAGGGTTTGGGGTTTAGGCTTAAGGGTTTAGGGTTGTTTTTTTGAACCCTTCGGACCTTTTCTGGCAAGCGTCCAAGCGCTAAGGGGCTTTAGCAAACAAGCAGGCATCAGCAACAGTTTAGGGTTTGGGGTTTAGGGTTTCAAGGAGTGTGTTCCCTTATTCCCTACTAAGAACCAGTAAGCTGTGCTAGCAGTGCCTGCAGGAGAGCACCCGATCAGAGCGGCAATCAGGTCCTGAAAGCTCTGGCGGGTGAGGCCTGGGTTCTTGTTGAGATACCAATGGGTTTAGGGGTGTAGGGGTTTAGGGTAAACAGATCTTTTTTAATTGATATTGGGCCCAGGTATTCATAAAAAAATAAAAATTCTGTTCTACAAGAGCCCAGAGGCGGTCTGGCATGCGCAGCAATGCAACCTTGCTCAAATCCATCAACGTGGCCTCGATATCCTGGGTTGCTGTTAAAGACCTTAAGCCACGTTGCCATGCTATGGGTATATAGTAGATACTGGGCTGTTCCTTGTTATGGTAGCTTTGTCTACTTTCCTTAACAGCAACCCAGTATCAGCCATGCTGATGCCAAACTTTGCCAGCTCATTCAGCACGTTCGCGTGGCTAAGCTGATGGAAGTAACCCGTTTCAATGGGAATTGAGACCTTATCCCATGCCAGTAAGACCGTGGGCACAGCCCCCACGCGAGCAGCGACCATCTCGCCGATCCGCCACTTTTGGGAGAAAATTCCGGCCGTGCCCAGAATAACGAAGGTTTCTGTATCCTGGAAAGGCCCAGTGGCTCTCAGTAGTTTCCATCTTATTTTCCATTATCCCAATACAACCCCAATATTACCCCGATATACTGTTATATGGGAATAATGGAAAATGGAAACTACTATAATGGGTTTAGGGATTAGGGCCTCCTTTAGGCTCGCATGGACCAAGCTCATTTCTGAGAATCGCTGCAATTTTGTCAGAATCCATCATATTCCCAAAAGTTTCCCCAGGCCTGTGCCACGTAGCTGAAGAGCCGGGCTAAATCATTGAAATCATCACAGTCAATGAAGGTCTCGGTGCCAGGCAGCTGCTTTTCCAGTTCCATCTTGAATAGACGTGCGATGGAGCCCGCAGCACATTTGTGATGGCAAAGGAAGAATTTGAATCGCTTTCCTTAGCAACAAACTGCAGGAAACTCGCCTGCGCTGGTACACAACTGAGTAGACTAGGGTTTTGAGGTACAGTATACTGTGGTTTATCACCAGATGAGCCATAGTCTAGGAATATATAAGGACCCTTAAATAATTACCATTCCTGCTTGTGGTCGCTATTCGTGGTTGGGGGCCCAACCTAAAGCATCCCCAACTACTTCCTTGAAAGCCCCTGAAGGATTCACTACTGGTCCTGGAAACAAGTGGATAGTTTCCAAAATTCAGCTCCCATTTCGCCTCCCCCAAAAGTTTTGGGAAGTTAGAGAATAGCCCATATTCTTAGGCAAGCATCGGCAACTTTGCCGAAGGTAGCCCAACATGCTCGACAGCAGCATACCACAAGTTCCAAGGAACCTGCAGTAGAATTCCTCTATATTCTAGATGAGCTATAGTCTAAACTCCTTAAAGGGGTTATATAGGGGACCAAATTATAAGGCTTATTAAGGAGGATGCTAGGATTTTGGCTATATCTCATATGCCCCTATATTCCTTTCAAAAGGACCATAGCCATGCTGTCAGTTACTAAGGTCCCCCCACAGCGTGTTAGGACCTTGTACGACTGGAAATCTTAACCGTCCACCATACAGAGATTCCATCTACACGCCGAGTCCGAAAGCCAAACAACCTGATAAGAGCTACAATCCCAAAGGCATTTGGGGTCTAGGGTTTAGTTTTTTAGGCCTGCGCTCCGAAATCATAACACCGCAACCTTTCTGCCCACTGTTGGGAAAAATCCTTTGAACGAAGAGCATCAGGGAAAGGAAAACCGTCTCGACGGCCGCGCTCCTTCTGGGACCCCCGTCGTCAATTGAAACGGAGCCCAGGTCAAGAATCACCAGCAGGCCAAGAATCAGAGCAATATCCAGGATGTTGCATACCATAAATCTCCATGGCTGAAAGGCGGCCACCAACACAAGGTTAACATACAGAGACCAGGTCATCATGAAGATTTTGGAGGCTTGGGTGGCTAGGATGGGGCTCAACGCCACCAGCACATTCCTGATCAGAAGAAGAATGCAGAAGCTTTCGGCACCAGGACGGAAGCGCACAATCAGAAAGGATATAGCTTCAAAAAATGCAGTATCTGACCGCGCCAAGCGCTTGGGAAGCTCTGCCACGATCAGCCAGCTGCACACCGTGATAAATAGCGCAGGCATAAGGCAGGCAAAGCCTGAGACAATAAACATTTGAATGTGTTCGGTGCCGCCATCACCTGGGTTGCTGTAAAGTTACTATATTGGGGAAACCCTATTATTTCCTATATATACCCATTATGGTAACTGAATTTCAGTTCCTTAACAGCAACCCAGTCACAGAGCACTGAGGGGTAGCCCTGAACGGTGAATCGCCCATTTGGATGCCCTTGGCACTTCCAGGGGGCCAGAAGCATCGCGAAAAGGATGATAAAAAATGTAAGGAAGATGGCTCCGCAGGTGGTTAAGAAATGCCGGAAACCAAAAGATGCCCTTGAGGCACCTCTTGCTCTCAAATACGCATGGTAAGTCATGTGAATCAACAAGGCAGATGTCATGATTCCCGGGATCATGAGCACCCGAAAGGCAAAGAGCTGAAGAGGACCCATTGCTGCCAGGCAGGAAAGGGACAGCATCTCCAGATCAAAGCTCAGAACTTCCACATAGACCAGGACGGTTGCGAAGGGCTCGCCCCAGGCAATCTTAAAACGTCTGATCACTGCCAGCATTTGGACAATCGTCAGAAGCTGTGATAGGCCTTGCACAGCCACTAGAAAATGGCGATTCCTGTTTGCCTGCCCCTTCTTGAGCAAGCTGCAGTACAGAACAGCTACACCAAGAACAACAAGAGTGGCAAGCAGCAACAAGAGGAGGTAGTCGTGGTCATTGCAAGGCTTGCAAGATCCGTCTGCGTCTGACCGCAGTCCATGGAGGCAAGCCTCACAGGCCACGCTCCCAACACCCCGTCCTTGGCTGCAGGTTCCCGGAAGCCCACCAGGGCATGCATTGGGCTGCTCGCATTTGTAGATCTCATGTGGGGCCTCCACAGAAGAGAAGTACCCAGGCCAAAGCCGAAGACGATTGTCACCTATGCAAGTGGCACCGTCTGTGCATGGGTGGCAGCGGCCTTGCAACAGGAAAGATTGCGCTGCGCAGGCGCAAAATGCACTGGAGGTGGCCCCTTGCACCTGAATGATCTGACTTCCAGCATTTGTAACAGCTTCTTGGCTGGTGGTCCACAAGCCTTGCTGGCCGGTCTCATTACCACAAGCAAAGCAAGAGCTCATACCACTGGCATTGGCGAACTCACCGAGTCGGCACAAGACACACTCAGTTGAGCCTGTGGTTGCTGTGATGCTTCCAGGGTCACATCGCTTACAAGCAGATGCCCCGAAGGAGTTCTGATACTCCCCCACCTGACAGCTGGAACCCCAAACCCAAAACTCCTAAACCCTAAACCCTAAATCATCAAACCCCTAAACCCTAAACCCCTAAACATCTAGACCCTGAACCCTAAAGGCCCTAAACCCAGCACCTGACAGCTGGAACACCGAAAAGTGTTGGCCAGTTTCTCCGAGGCCCGTCCAGGCGGGCAGGTCCCGCACTCGTCAGCGCTGACTTTCGATGACACAAAGTCGCCATTTGAAGCGACCAAGCCTTCGCCCACGTTGCATTCAGTTTTCGCAGGCACCCAGGCCTCCCAGCGATTCGAATGTAACCTGATCCATTCACAAGCAGCCTCGTAACGCGAATGCGACCCAGAGAGGTACATTGAAATCAACTCTTGCATGTCGCTTTCCACTATGTCAACATTTTGCACCAAACTGTTGGCACGTGATGCGACCCGTGAAAATGCAAATGATGCCCACTTTTGAAGTGGCTGGGCTCTCAATCCAGTCTTGTAGATCCCCTGCCTCCACTCGGCTGCATCATGCGGAGGCATGATTACAAGAGAAGGCTGGGGATCTGAAAATGTCGTGTCTGGAGTCCACCAAAATGTCAAAGACTTCAAATCCCGATTGATTTGCTCGTACAACTCCGCAGACTTCGCGGATGCGAATGCAATGGGCATGTTGTGAAAAGCTGCCTGCTGCAACATGGTGTTGAATCCCCATGCCTGTGGCCCCGTCACAAGTGCAATGCAACTTGATGCATTGGACCTGCAAGCAGGTGCCAACCACCATTTATCCTTGGGTCGTGGGCCGTACGCACTGTCATAGGGAACATTCTGGGGTTTGTCCCGCAACTCATTACTATAGGGATCCAATCACCCACCCATCCCAATTCCCTACCTTTGGTTACCTAGGAATGAACTCCTTATCGTAGTTTCCAGCTTCCATTCCTTCATTCCCAGCTAACCAAAGCTAAGATTCCCAACCAAGCATGGCTAAACCCTAAACCCTGCACCCTAAACCAGCAAGTATCTTTCCAGCATGTGAGCCAGGGCTTACCATCTCGAAACTCCACGCCCTCCAGATCGCCGGTCACATCAATGTAATGCTGTCCAAGGTCGGGAAAATGGATGTCTGCTGTCTGATTGCACAAGCGAAGTTGGTTCATATCCTGGGCTGCTGCCAAGAAACTTAGGTTGACTTGCTATAACGATGAAACCCTATATTATGTACTATATACCCGTACTAGGGTAACTTAAGTCAAGTTCCTTATACACAGCAACCCTAACCCCTAAACCCACCCAGCATCAACACTTGCGACGGTCGCCAGGTAGAGCTCCGGATGAAACCAGGAGGCATTGTAGCAAAAGTAGTAGGACAAATCGAGGCCGGTATCTGCTAGGTACCTAGGTTTAGGAAGGTTCAGGGTTCAGGGTTTAGGGTTTGGGTTAGGGTTTAAGGTTGAGGGTCTGCTAGGTACCTAGGTTTAGTAAGGTTCAGGGTTTAGGGTTTGGGTTTAGGGTTTAGGGGCAAAAGTGATAGGACACATCCAGAACCGTATCTGCCAAATACCTGGATTTAGGGATGTTTAGGGTTTAGGGTTGGGGGTGCTGTTAAGGAATTCAGTTTAAGTGACCATAACATGGGTATACAGGATGTAGGGCTTAGGGAAGTTTAGGTTCCAAGAGACAATAGTATGGACACGCAGGAAGTAATGGCATTTCCTTAGTACAGTAACTTGCAAAAGTTCCTTAACAGCAACTCAGGTACTTCTTGCGAGGTTCTTCGAAGACATAGATACCTTCAACACTGTCGTAACCAAGGTTCCCCAGGTATCTTGGCGCCAATTCGCCCAGGTGATCTGCTACAGCAATCCAGCTTCTGAATGCCAAGACAGGCGGAAAGATCTCCATTGCGACATGATGCACAGAAGTTGACCCTGCCAGGCATTCTCCAGGAGTTGCGCAGCCGGCTAGGAGATGTAGCATTTCCAAGGAGCCAGGTCTTTCTGTTACAATGACATTGAAGCCCAAGCCCTCGGTCAACAAGATCTTGGTGATGTCAGAAACAACACCCGCGGAAAACCAGTCTCCGTTCACAAAGCTGATGGGCATGGACACATCCTGGGTTGCTGTTAAGGAACTTTATTTAAGTTACTACACTGGGGGAACCGTATTCTTTACTATATCTCCCCATAATATGGTAGCTTCATTTAAGTTCCTGAGCAGCAACCCAGCATCATCGATGGATATGTTGGCCCTGTCCTTCAAAGCGATTGCGTTAGGCAAGCAGCTTTCGGAGCTCCATGCCACATCCAGGAGCAACAACAATCGCCACAAGCGACGCTTCATACAGGCAGCCACAACATCGGCTCTCTTGACTTACTGGTCCTGACTAGGGAATATGGGAATAGAATCCCTATATAGCCGCGATATAATATGTTCCCATCTTCCCTACTAAGCACCAGCAAGCAAGTTGAGTTCGTATCTTGAGCCTCCGAATACAGCTTCAGGGCTGCTGTTTCATGCCATCCTGCGGGGGAGGATGATGTCCATGTCCATCCATGACTACATGACTTATGAAAACACTAACTTACTGGTTCTTAGTAGGGAGTAAGGGAATATATCATATGGGTACTATGTAGGGATAGTATTCCCTTATTCCTACTAAGAATCAGTAAGCTACACCATCTCGATCTCATGAAAAAAAAATGACCTTCCGCACACGAGCGTTTTTTCCTGAGGCGCTTGGCGTCCAAACTTGCGCAACAAGCCGGGCCTTTGGCCTCATGAGAAAGTTCGACCTCAGTTGAGTAGCGTTTTTTTTGGTGGTGAAACCTAGTAAGATTATATTCCTTATCGAAAATACTATACCCCAAAAGGAGGATATAATCTTACTCTATATTGGGTACCATAATATCCCCAAATAACTTCTAGACCTACATTTCATTTTCCATGTTCTTTTGCATTTGATTCTCCAATATTGGGGTACCATAGTATCCCCAAATAAAATACTACTCAGTCCTAAACCCTAAACCCCAAACCCTAAACCCACTTGTTAGGACTCTGTGCAATTTCTCCCTCTGACAATAGCAGCTCAGCTCCTGTCTAAAAGGTCAGGCAGAGCCCAAGGTTCAATTCCTGCTGGCGCGGGTTAGGGTTTAGGGTTTAGGGTTTAGGGCTTAGGGTTTAGGGTTTACGGCTTAGGGTGACTCCGTGAATCCACCCTCAAGAGCAGGCCTTCCATTGACGAAAGGGATTTGCAATGGAGCAAAGTTCGACATCTTCCTGCGCAGTCGGATCTCAAAAAGTGCTGTGCTCACGTGACAGCCAAATGTAGTCCCCCTTAATGCGGACTTCGGATTATTAAAGGGGTCGTATTAGAGCTAAATCAGGCCTGAACGGAATAATAAAAAGGGGGTCGTATTAGAGCTAAATCCGAGCTGA